GGATAAATAGATGAGAAAGAAGATGGATAGATAGATAGAAGATGGATGGATGGATAGATAGAGATAGATAGAAGATAGCTGGCTGGCTGGATATATAGATGATAGATTAGCGACATAGAAGATGGATGGATGGATAGAATAAATGATAGACAGACAGACAGATACCATCAAAAGAAATGAATGAAAAATGGCATGGTTTTATTTGTGTATTCCAGAAGGTTCCACCCGAGATGAAACCTCACCAAGCGAGCCCCATGGTTAGATTACTCTTTCGCAAATGCTTCAAGTATCACCGGAGTTCCCCTCTTCCATCTCTTGCTAAAAAATGCCCTCTTTGGACGGAGCTGAACTCCCTTCGCCACAGCTGTAGGAGCAGGACCGTTACATCGGCGAGGACCTTCCATACCAGCCCCAGGGCTTTGGGAAAGCTCTGGGACAGCGTCCCCCTGCAGGCATATTTACAGACTTTGGAGCAAGAATATGAAAGGATCGATTCGCTGCTCAGCACCTGCTCCGTGAACGAATTTAAGGAAAAGGACCTTAGCCTACGACGGGCTAAATTATTCCCCTTGGTGCAGGCGTTTCAACAAATACAAGAGGCCAAAAACCAAATCCAGGAACTGGAGAAAATGTGTACAGGTATGTGATTTGTCAGGATTCCGGCAGTTGCCCTGTGATAACCCGGGAGGGAATACAAAAGCAACACAGTCACAAAAACAGGTGAAGTCCCTTTAATTCCTTCAACTTGGCTTCAAAGGTCCAAATATCATTGACTGGAGAAAAAAAAACTCCCCCACAAACAGCTGCGAAAAGGAAGAAATGCCATTCAACCTCAAAATACATATAAATTATAGATAGAAAAAAAACAGCACAAACCACACTGAAGAATTAATGAGGCAAGGCAGGAAAAGGGCTTGAAGATGTCCACAGGTATCGAAATACCCACACTGAGAAGGACGCCAGAACTCAGATAAGAACTGTAAGACTAGAATTATTTCACGCTTTGCTTCCAGCACTGGGCCATGTGCAATTTGTCCTTTTAAACAGTCCTCACAGCTGCAGCCCATGAAGGGGATCAGGGCCCCATCCTCCCCCATAGACCACACCATTCACATTGCTCCCTTCTCTGTTCCTCCCTGCGTGCCCTAGGATGGAGAGGGGATGGGCCTGGGTCTTCCTCTGAATGCCCAGCCAGCCTCTGCCCTTCCCCAGCCTCCTCCACAACCTCCGGAGCCACACTTCCACTCCCTGTCGGCTGTTCCTCCTTGGCTGTTCCTCCTCTCCCTCGGAGTCAGACTCCAACAGAGGCATGACATGCCCTAATCAAATCATGAGCTTCGAACCAAGCTTCAAAAACTTCAAAGGACTTATTAGGAGCAAACATGTCGTCATGACCTGAATGAAGCTGATTCTGAGACAAGTAATTCACTATCACCTATGACCCTGTTTCCTCCCCATCCTTCTGGGTGTGTCATAATTCATATTCTCCAACGAAAGCTGAGCATCATCAATCATGTTCTCCAATTACGGATTCCGGTAGCTTAGTTACAATCTTTGCAAGATAAGAATGGAACGCACTTTTGGTTTTAAACTGCCGCACCGCTCCTTCAGTTTTCTCTCACTTCTCCCCATTCATGGCAACTCTTAAACAGGCATAGAAATGTTTTATGAGTTGACATTATACAGGTAATCCTCAATTTAACGACCTCCGTTGAGCCAAAAATTCTGTTGTTAAGAGAGACATTTGTTAAGTGTGTTTTGCAACCATTTTACGACCGTTCTCGCTCAAGTGGTTAAGTGAATCACAGTGGAGTGGAGACGTTAGTAACACAGTGGTTCAATGAATCTGGCTTCCCCATGGAATTTCCTTGTCAGGTTGTAACATTGCAACTGTCGTAAATATGAGTCAGGTCTCAAGCGTCTGAATTTTGATCATGGGGATGCTGCAGCAGTCACAAGTGTGAAAAACGGTCCTGAGTCACTTTTTTCGGTGCAGTTGTAACTTTGGTTCCGTTACATCTGAGGGAACCATCGCCAATATCTGAATTTCAGATGTCCGGTATAATTTACTCTTCTCTTTTCAGTTTTTTTTTTTCATTTTGCTGTTTTATTACAGAGCTAACTCAATCAGAAGAGAAACTTCTGCTAGAACTTGCTACAGAGGAGAAGGAAGGTATGAACCAGAGGATTAGAGCACTGTATCTAGAGGTGAGCAAAAGTCAGCTGTTGTGGTCCACAGTCACGTGATCAAAATACAGACGCTCGGCAACTGGCATGTACTTATGACGGTTGCAAAGTCCCCGGCTCACATGATCTCCTTTTTGTGACCTTTAGTTTAGTTTACTTTATTGTCCTTGCACCTCGTACAACGAAATCCAACACCATCTTCCATGCACATCATAGCTGTTAGGGATACACCCTAGCAGAATCTGCATGGCAGTCAGGCAGGCAGGCAAAATATGTGAGATAAACGTTTTTGTAGCTTACACTCAGTAAAACAGATACACAGTGCTAATTAAATAGTTTATTCCGGTAAGAGTTATAGCATAGTCAAAACAGCCCATATATCATTCACTAGTTCAGTCCGTCCAGGGATTATTCAGTTGCAAATTCCAGTGTCGAAAAAGAGAGGTCAGTAAACTTACAAATATCAGTCCAGTAATATATCTCCTTGCAGTAGAGATATGAAGAACTCAAAAACTCCTCTCTTCCTTCAGCAACTCAGCAGTAGGGGAAACATGCAGTTAACAAACCATCAATCCATGCAATCCAGTAATTGTCAGCAATCAATCAGGTTCTCTTGCTCCCTCTTATGGTGGTTTCACACCGCACCCAAAATTACATGCTTTGCAGTTTTAAAGTGACACACACTTAAATTTACAATCATAGTTTATATATATTATTTTACCCAAACTACGTTAGGTAACCTATGTTATTCCTAACAATAGCCATGAAAATCAACACAAACACACATCCTTCACCTTCCACACATTGAACCAGACACCCCCAAGACACCACACCAATCCTGCCCTATACAGCAGAATTCAACAGAGCTGCCATCCTGGGATAGAAGCAGTTTTTCAGCCGATTTGTCCTCGTTTTTATTATTGTCCTGTACTGTCTGCCAGATGATAATAGTTCAAAAAAAAAAGGGTTCCCAGGATGAGATGGATCTTTGAGGATGTTTTGAACTTTCTTATGGTAGCAGGAGCTGTAAAGCTTTTCCAAAGAGGGAAGAGGGCAACCCACGATCTTCTGGGCAATGACATTAACCCTCTGGAGTGTTTTCCTATCTGCCCCTGTGCAATTGGCAAACCATACAGAGGAGCAGTATGTTAAAATACTCTCTATGGTGCAGCGGTAGAAGGTCACCAGCAGTTTCTCATTCAGTTGTTATTTTCTGAGAAGTCTCAGGTAGCATAATCTCTGCTGGGCCCTTTTGACCAGAGCTGCAATGTGGGCACCCCAGGTCAGGTCCTCTTTTAGGGTAACACCCAGAAACTTAAAACTGGCCCCTTGTTCCACTCGGTCTCCCTTGATAAGCAAGGGCTGGAGGTCTGATCTGTTCCTTCTATAGTCCACTATCAGCTCCTTGGTCTTATTGGTGTTGAAGACCAAGTTATTGTCTCCACACCACGAAAGCAACCAGTCCACCTTATCTCGGTAGGCAGACTCATCCACCCCTGTTGTATCATCTGAAAATTTAGTAGTAGTATTACTCGCGTGAGTGGGAATGAAGTCATGCCCATAAAGAGTATAGAGTAAGGGACTCAACACGCAACCCTGTGGTGTACCAGTAACAGTGTACCTTCTGACGAGTAAAGTCAACAGGGAAGCCCAATTCCCCTAATGCCTTAACAACTGCCGCGATTCACTTACGGTGGCAAGAAAGGTCGTAAAACGGAGCAAAACTCACGGAACAAATGTCTCGTTTAGCAACAGAAAGTGTTGGGTTCCCTCCGTGGTCGTAAGTCTAGGACTTACCTGTAATTACGAAGGGGATTCTTAAGATCTGAAATGGAAGTTAGGAATGCCGTCGAAATTGGAGAGAGGATTATTTGTCAGCTGATGTTTTGCTTGTTGCTTTCTTCAGCTTTGTGAGAAGATCACGCCAAGAGACAAATACGACGAAAACAGCGTCCTTTTAGAAGTCACATCTGGCAGGACGACGGGAGGTGAGGCAAAAATATCATGGCTTCAATGTTATTCTAAATTGATTTATTTTGTTGCATTCTTCACTTTTCCTCAGGTTTTTTTTTCTTTGCAATACATTTTTAATTTTTCCTTTCTTCTACAAACGTATCTGTCAGGTTTCCAAGTGGTGAAATCCATTTTTTTTTAAAAAGAGCAAAGTCCATCTTCTAAAACAAATTCTTTTATTTAAGAAAGCATCAAATTGGCAAGGTCTGTTGTAATTTCGGATCTGACGCAATCCACAATTACATCACATAATCCTGGAAATTAGAAACAGCCCCCAAAAGTCACATTCCCCAATAGAAGTAAATCAACGTTGCCTGGTGTCATTAATTTCCACCTCCAAGTCTCAGCAGGGTCAGCTTTCGTTCCCACGGGAAGGAGAACCACTTAGCCTAAACAATCTCTCTATTTCCACTCCTCCCCCCCTTAGGAATGTGGCATGGCCGAAACCCCTCCCCGCATAACCAGCAAAGAGAAAGAGAGAAAAGGAATATATAATAAGGCTAAATAAATGGCTATGCATATGTCGATTTCGGGCTTGACAATATCATTGTGTGAACAATGTGGTTACAGGATAGTTTACATTTTAGAACAAACATGACAATGATTTCATATTGAAACTGTCATCTTGATGACAGTTAGTCGTACAAATTATCTATCCTGATTATTCCAAACTCCCATATGCTATTTTGATATCAATCTCCATATTCTTAACATCACTTCTTTTATTATGGTGACCCGGGACGTGGCACAAAGGCAACCCAGCCAGATAATCAGTAGGAGTCCCTTTATTAGCTCCAATTTTGCCCCCAATGTCCTGGTTACCTTCTGGGCTGGAGAAAAACTCTCCCAGGTAAACAGCCTTTGGCTGCAGAGAATCAAGTCCAAAACATGGTCAACAAAAACTGTAACTATAAGTCCAATCAAGGCAAAATGAGGTAATTAGTCTGGCAGGGCAGGAGCAAGAATTCCAGATGTGAAAGGCATGATAGTAACTCAACATGGTTGGGAAGATACCAGGAATGCAGATAAGCAAAGTCAACACAAGATAAACTTACATTTGCTCCCAGCAGACGTCGCACTCAGCTTGCATCTCTCTTAAACTCTCATTCCCAGGTGTGGCTAATGAAGGGAATCAGGGCCCTTTCCTTCCCCTTAGGCCACAAAACCTACCAGGGGTTTGAAAGAGCAGTGCGGCAGCTTGGAAACCAAAAGTGCATTCCATAAATGTTTTCAAAGATAGTAACTAGGTAACTGAAGTTTCTGCCGCGCAAATATCTCACTGGAGAGCATGATTGATGACTCTGGGCTATGGATGTGTCCCATTGGAGAATATGAATTACGATAAATCCACAGGGTGGGGGAAAACCAGGCTCAAGGGTGACAATGAGTCGGCGACATCCAAGCAGTGCCGGACATGTTAACTCCCAATAAATCCTTTTGAAGTTTTGGAAGTTTGGCTCGAGGCTCATGATTTAATTGGGGTAACTGCCGGAATCCTGACACACGGTCATAAGTCTCTTTTTTCAGTGTCATGGTTACTTCAAACGGTTGTAAGTCGAGGACAGCCTGCCTTGTCCTTTGTCGGGCTTGCAAGCTCTGGATTAAAAATATCGTTCAGACGGATATTTCAGAGGAATTTTTATGTTTCAGGCGACATTTGCCAGCAATTCACGAGAGAAGTCTTCGACATGTACCAGAATTACGCAGAATACAAAGGCTGGACTTTTGAAACGACCAAGTACTGCCGAGCTGAGACAGGTAGGAGAAGCCCCTCACCTGGATATCTCCACGGGGGGGCCTCCCCCCACTTTCCTCCCGCCCCAAATGAAAGAGTTTTGCATTTTTCAGGGGGGCTCCACCATGCAGCGGCTCGGATCTTGGGAAGCCACGTCTACAAACGCTTGAAGTTTGAAGGAGGAACCCACCGGGTCCAACGGATCCCTCAGACTGGATTGTCTTCGAGAATGCAGCGGATCCACACTGGCACCATGACGGTCATCGTCCTCCCTCTGTCTGAGGAGGTAGCCAGTTTCTTCATAGCTTTTAATTCTCTCTCTGTGCCTCTCTGTCTCCCGCTCTCTATCTCTCTTTGTCTCTCTGTTTGTCTGTCTTTCTCTCTCTGTCTTTCTCTCTCTTGGTCTTTCTATGTCTCTCTCTCTCTCTCTCTGTTTCTATCTGTCTTTCTCTCTCTTTGTCTTTCTATGTCTCTCTCTTTCTCTCTATCTCTGTTTCTCTCTGTCTTTCTCTGTCTCTTTCTCTCTGTTCCTTTCTCTCCATCTCCATCTGTTGAATGCCACATGTAAGTTAGCAGCAAATCGATTATTTCCATAGCTGTGACTCTCTCTTGCAAGATATTTCAAACGTTTCCATCTTTTAGAAGGAGAAATTCTGTATATACCTATTGCTGGATCTCCTTTTTCCCTCTCTCCCTTCCTTTATCCTTCCTCCTTATTTTCCTTTCATCCCTACTTTTCTGTATCCATCTTCTTGTCTTATCTCGTCTTGTCCTTCCTCCCTCCTTCCCTCCCTCTCCTTCTTTCCTTCTTTCCTTCCTTCCTTCCTCCCTCCCTCTTTCCTTCCTTCCCTCCCTCTCTTTCCTTCCTTCTTTCCTTCCTCCCTCCCTCTTTCCTTCCTTCCCTCGCACTCCTTCCTTCCTCCTTCTTTCCTTCCTTCCCTCCCTCTCCTTCCTTCCTCCTTTCCTCCCTTCCCATCCATCTATCCATCCCATAAAATTACACATCAGACTTTTCTTTCTCCAGGTAGAGATAAAAATCAACCCCAGTGATTTACGGATTGATACATTTCGTGCCAAAGGTGCTGGAGGGCAGCACGTTAATAAAACAGACAGTGCGGTCAGAGTTGTACACCTCCCTACAGGTATTTTTTTTATTTATCATTTCCTTATTTGCGTAATGTGTATAAATATCCATCCAATTCAATGTCCTAGCTTCTAATATTCCTAATAGGTGACTTTTTCTCTCTCTTAGACCTTAAGGGTTGCTATACTCCTTTACTTTTATTGTTCATCGCCTACGTAAAATTTTACCTTTTGCTTTTCACCAAGTTACGTTAAGACCAACGTTTATGCCATGCTTCCTGATACAAAAAATACAATTCGATGGGAGAGAAAAAAAAGGGATTTTTAAGCCCAAAGTAAAAGATATATAAATGGCAGATTTCATTCACCCTGTTTATGTGCATCGTTATTTATGAAAAAGGACTTTGGGGTCAGGGGTGGGATGCAAATATGTTTACTACCGGTTCTGTGGGCGTGGCTAGGTGGAAGTGGCTAGGCGGGCATGGACATGTGACTGGGTGGGCATGGCTTATTTTTGCCACACACACACACACACACACACACACACCTCATGCATGCCCCTTTTTGCCTCCTGGGTGAAGCAGTAAGATAGCAAGGGGGATCCCGGCACAGCTGATCATCAGAACAGCTGGTCATCAGAGAAAAAAAAATATTGGTTCAGCCGAACCAGTAGCTGTTTTTTTACTACCGGTTCGCTCAAACCGGGGCGAACCAGTAGGATACCACCTGTTGTGGTTAGCCAGCAGCAGGTGCGGACAGCTAAGGAGAGCGAGGCCTCAGATGAGAGGCCAGGACCATTAGGGAGCGGACTGCTGCCTTCAGAGATTGTGGGGGCTGGCAGCAATGAGGAGGAGCTTCCCGAGGAGCCTGTGCCAAGTGTGCGTGCATGCAGGATTGCTCGGAGGAAAGAGCAGCTGCAGCAGCACGGGCAACTCAGGAGTAAGGCTGCAAGGTAATGGCCCCTCCTTCGAGAAGATAAAAACCAGCTGTGAAACGAACGTACTTTGCAGAAGGCAAAGACGTTTTGAAACTCAGCCTCATGGACATTCCAGTATCCTGAGTTTGCGTTTGAAGATTCTGATTTTGCAAGAAATATTTCTTATTTCTTGTCTGTTATCTTTTGGCAAGTCTTGCAGAGTTTGGCAAAGCTTGTAATTATCACAGCTAATGATTTTGTAAAAGCATTACAAGGTTTCTGTTCCTTTTGGATTGTGTTTGATTTGTTGGAAAAAGGCAACAAATCTGTGTTCTGTTGGGTCAGAACACCACTATAGTTTGGGGTGTTAATTAAAGAGCAGAGTTAGTCTCACCGATTTGCAAAAATTCCTTGGTGGATGTCTGTGGGATCCTTTCTTTTCTTTGGAAGGGATCACGGTGGAATGCCAGCAGGACCGATCCCAGTTAACAAATAAGGAAACGGCGTTGCAAACCCTGAGAGAGAAGCTCTACCTACAGACGGTCATGAAAGACATAAACGAACAGCAAAGTACGAGGAAACTGCAGGTAAGACCCAACAGGATGCCTCTGAATCACTGTGAGGGATGAAGATGCCATAAACGAGGGTATTTGTAGCTCAGGGTTGAACCATGGAATACTTGAGAGTTTGATTGTTTTCTCGCAAACGTTTCATGACCCAACTAGGTAACATCATCAGTGCTAGAAGGGAGGAGGGTTTTCAGAGAGGAGGAGGAGGATTCTGAGCATGATTGTTTCCTAGATGATGTTTCATGACCCAACTACATAACATCATCAGTGTTAAAAGGATGTGGGGTTTGCAGAGAGGAGGAGGAGGAGGAGGAGGAGGGAGACTATGGGTTCTTTGGTGCTTGGTGGCTTTCTTGCAGACGTTTTATGACCTAACTAGGTAACATTATCAGTGCCATAAGGGGATGGAGAGAGGAGGACGGGGAGGGGGAGGAGAGGAAGAGGAGGACAACAACAATTGTAAGCTCCTTAGTGCTTTCTGAGCCTGATGGCTTCCTCGCAAACATTTCATGACCCAACGAGGTATCACGATCAGTGCTGAAAGTGAGTGAGGTTTGCAGAGTGGAAAAGACAAATAAGGGAGAAGGTGATGTCCTTGGTGCTCCTGAGCTTGGTAGGTCTCTTGCAGACGTCTCCCTACCAAACTAGGTAACGTCATCAGTGCACATGCTGAGATGAAGAGACTCATTTGACTCCGTAGAAGTGAGAGAGAAGGACACAGGGCAGCTTTGCTTCGGGAGAGTACATGCTTTGTAACGGCCCTAGTCAGCCTCATGTAGTCCAAACCAGATGCACACCCAAGGATTGTGCTGTGCATTCCTGGTCCTGCCCCGTTCCAACTCACAGTTGTATGTTTTTCTTCCTAGCCATAAGACTTTACACTTCCCAAGCTCATGAAGCCGACTCCTCGTCCCTTTTATTTATGTTCAGAGTTTTGCAGTGTTAATTCAGCGCCACAGAAATAAACACAGATGGCTTATGCTTCATTTAACATCTTTATAAACCTTAATAAGTAGATTTTACAAGCCAGTTGTAGATTTCTCCAACACGGAGCAAACTCAGACAGAAACATGTTGCAAGTAGCTTCAGTAGCACAGAGAACAGAGGGAACCTCCAGTTTCCCTTTAGTTCAGCAAGCAAGCAGAGGAGAGAAGCGGTTTCATTTTCAACAGATAGACTCGGAGCTCAACATAGCTGCAGAGCAGTATAGAACCACGTCTGGACTACTTCTAGTTTCAGTTTCCGGCCTAGGCTACTCATTGGCTGACTTAGTTGTTATGCATATTCATTGGCTGACCAAGCCCTATTCCAGTGCATGAGTAGACTCTGACAATTTAGGTTCAAGTGGACTCCTCTCCAGCAAAGTCCCAGCCAGCAGTCTTTCAAGAGATTTCACAACTACAGACCTTTATCAGGCATGGAGAGTTGCCAGGCCGATATCTTCCAAACGCCACACTGTAGCAGAAATTACTTCGCAAGGAGTCAGGAACAGATCTTCACCCTAATGAATTGAACTAATTGTCTCCTGCAAACCCCACTCCCCTTTCACTCCTTTTACTCCCTATGGGAGGGGCCATTCAATGTCCACCTGTGAGTTTATTCCCGAGTCGACCCTTGTTCCTTAGCTGTTCTCTTCTTCTGACAGCTCTGTGCATGTGCACACTGGGAACAGGCTCCAGCTGTTCTTCTTCCCCACTGATCTCTGACTCCAAAGGCAGCTGATAAGTATTGGATGACCCTGGCCCCATCTCTGCCTCTGACGCAAAGCCCTCGTCAGAGCCTTCTCCAGACTCTAGGACTGGCCCATGTTCCTCCTGAACCTTCTCACAACCTTCTCAACCGTCCGAGTCTGCCACCAGTCCACTGGTGGGCCACGACAAAGACAGGCGAAAAAGTCATTCCTCATTTGGACTCCTTGCAACTGTGCTGAAATGTGAAGGTTTATTACAAGAAACTAAAAACGGCAAAGTCCGTGGTGGAACATGCTCCGCAAAAGATTCGTCTGGTAATTGTGTTGTTAACAACTGTCTCACTGTTTCTTCTTTCGCAGTTAGGGTCAAGATCCCAGTCAGAGAGAATTCGCACGTACAACTTCAACCAAGATCGGGTGACTGACCATAGGATCTCTTATGAAGTCCGTGATATCAAGGTATTAATTCTAAAATAGGTGGGCAGATTTGTTTCGGCAACCAGTACCAGTTGTAGTTTATCCAAGGTACTAAAAGGCTACCTTTGAATTTATTACCCCTTTTTTCGGATTTTGGGGGTGCTTTTAAACATGGCCTTAATTCAAAAGGTAGGCCAGAACAATTGCACTGACAAACATTTGCATGAGCCAACCTTTTGGACCTCAGGGACCCCAAATTCATAATTTTAAATCCTGGGGACCACTAATATGAATGTTGACTGACGGTGGCTTGCTGACATTGGTGGGAGAGAGAGAGAGAGAGAGAGATCTGATCTAACCTCTCTCTCTCCCTCTCTCTCTCTCACACACAGAGGCAGGGCTGGGATTCATATTTCTTAACCAGTTCTGTGGGCATGGCCTAATCTGTGGGTGTGGCATGATGGTCATGTGACTGATGGTCATGGCTTGTATGTAAATATTATAAATATTTATGTAAATATAGAACTTTTTATAAAAGAAAAGAGCAACTTTTACCCCAAATCAGGCAAGGCAGGCAGGCAGATTGAGTTGCTCACAGAATCGGAGATTCATTCAGAGATTTATCTATCTGCCGTCGGCTAGCTCAGTCTGTCACATAAAATTTGCTAGCAAGCAAACTCACAAAATTAACTCACAACACACCATGCATGTAAATATTGCATTTTTTATAAAAAAAAAAAGAGAGAGCAACTTTTACCCAAAATCAGGCAAGGCAGGCAGGCAGATGGAGTTGCTCACAGAATCGGAGATTCACTCATAGATCTATCTTTCCGCCATCGGCTACCTGAGTCTGCGCTAAATAACAGAAGCTTCAGTCCTAAGGAAGGTCCAAAGATTAGCTAGAGAGCAAGAAATGCAACCATTTCCTGCTTTCTGGCGAATCTAAATCTCCCAGCACAGCAGAACAGCTGATGGTCAGGAAAAAAAAAAAAAGGAAAAATAGCAACTTAGCCGCCAAGTTTGCTGGGTAAGGAGTGAGTGGGCGGGGAAGGTTCCCGCGAGCCATGTGGGTGGCACAGCCTTGTGTTTCTGCGCAGCCTGGATTAATTGTTTTGTGGGGGGTGCTCTGGGGGTGAGATTTCTCTGCCGGACCACCAGTGGGCCACAGACCACCAGTTGGCGACCGCTATTCTAACTCACCCTTCTGCTCAAACAGAATATCCTTGTGCCATTCCAGACAAATGGTTGTCCAATCTCCTCTTAAAAACATCCAGTGTTGAAGCACCCACAAGTTCTGGTGGCAGGCTGTTCCGTTGATTAATTGTCCTCGCTGTTAGGAAGTTTCTCCTTAGTTCCAGGGTTGCTTCCCTCCTGGAATAGTTTCCATCCTTTGCTTCTTGTCCTTCCTTCTGGTGCTTTGGAGAATAACTTGACCTTCCCCCTCTTCTTTGGGGCAGTCCCTCAAATATTGGAACATTGGAACAAGCTTTTTTTTTCTCAAGCTTCTGATGGGTCGGATGTAAACGATGTAGCTGCTTTAAAGAGTCGATTCATTAAGAGTTATTTTGATTCTAAAGTGCAGCAACCGGGAAAGAAAAAAAAAAGACGACCGCTCTGTGAATAACAGAAAAGAATTGTCTTGTGATCTGAGGAGTGGCGTGGTCGCCGTAGAGGTGGAGCTCTAGCCTCGCAATCAGTTCGATCCTAGGTAGAGGCAGATATTTCTCTCTCTGGGCACGATGAGAATATATCTGCTGAACAAAACTCCTCATTGGTGATTGGAAAGGCATCCGGCCAGTAAACACTCTGCTAGCTCCATTCAGTTGGTCAGACTCCACCTCCACAAGGGATTGCAGGGTTGTTAAAGGATGATGATGATCGTCTTGTGATCCGAAGTGTTATGCTAAGAATTGACTTGCAGGAGGCAGACAATGACTGTTTTTTTTGCAGCTGTTGTCTGCCTTCTAGTGGCCAGGTAATGTTATAGCAGCACAAAAAATACAAATGTGAATAATTCTTCCCACCCCATCAGGTCTTGGCTGGGGAAGGGGGAGGACTTGTAACTTCACAGAGGAAGGAAAGTCACTGTAGCATCTCAATTTTTCTAACAAGAAGTTGGAAAAAAAGGATTAATTGTGTAATGAGTAATAGACGTACATCATAAGATCGGAAGGGAATCATTTCATAGCCTTCTTGGCAAGTAGATTTTGGAGTATTGTGCTGGCCAGATCTGCCCAGAGAAAGATAAACAAAGTTTACTTGGATTGTCTCTGACCACAGTAACTCCTCCAAATGTTTGTTTTTGTTCGGTAGGAATTTTTAAACGGCAAAGAACATCTGGATAATCTAATCAGCAGCCTGCTGGAGGCTTCGCAGATGAAACTACTGGCTGAGCAGTTGGAAAACAATTTGAAATCTCTGTCGGCAGGCTCCTGAATGGATGAATGACCTTTTTTTTTTAAAAAAAAAAGCCCTTGTTGGTGAAAAATTAAAGAGAACTATTGAAGAAACACTAGTCCCTTTGTTTAATTTTATATTTGGTTAACACGGTCTCTGAGCATTTTCCAAATAAATAATCTACAATTCCCCCCACCGCTGTATGTAAAATGTGCACATAACTTCACAAAGAAGCCATTTCATTTGTGTTTAGTTCCAACTGGATTATCAGAGAGGACAAACAGATTTACCAGAAAGTGAAATAAGAACAAAATCATCATCACAAAATCTCCAGAACCATAAAGCCTACAAACTTGAAATTTGGCCCATATGTTCCTCTTGGCTTCTAGGGGCTCAGTAAGAAAGGATTTTTTGAAACGACCATCACAGCGTCAGTATTTCCTATATTATTATTATTAGCACGCTCTGATGCTAAGTTCTACTCTCCCTCCCCACCTGAAAAGAAATCTGTTCCAACTACAGTTGAGCTAAGCCACGCCCAGGCTCCTTGCTGTCTCGTCCATGCTCACACAGAAAATACTGTTTCAGTTTCCAAACAGCCCTCAACTCACTCACACACTGACAGGACGTTAGCCAGATGAATACCGATGGATGCTGGTAGGCAGAGGCAGAATTCTCCCCCACCCCTTATTTTCCCCCCAAAAAAAGTTGCCCGATCACATAGTTGTGTAGCAAAGCACGGATACACTGCTAGTAGTTTATGAAGACTGCTGGAGGACGTAACTCACACGGGAACCTAATTCCCTAGAGAACACATATTATTGGAAACTATCCTCCAGTCTGCATTTTGTACAGTACATGCACAAAACAAAGAATGGAAAAACAAGCAGATTCACAATGTCTGTAAAAACAATTCCAGCAAATTTATTGAGCCAATAATTTGTAATAAGTTAATCAAAAAAGTACAGATCACACAAAAAAGTACAGATGTTCACTCCGTGAATATAAGGAAAAGGGATGGATAAAAATGGGAGTCAGTAGAGGAAGAAAAATAAAGATCGGTTTGATTCTGAAACCTGGATGGTCCTAGTTGTTTTAATACAGCTAATCTTAAAACTTAGAACAATTCATTTAGTGACTGTTCAAAGTTGCAACGGCGCTGAAAACAGTGACTTATGACTGGGAGACACTCACTTCACAAGTGTCTCATTTAGCAACCTGAATGCTGGGCTCAGTTGTGGTTGCAAGACTATCTGTGGAGATAGAGTGCAAAGCCTTTTTACCTGGAACTCACTTTGTTGCCTTGGCAGATTTTGCTAAAAATTTAGGTTAAAAAAAATGTCCCCAGGATGCAAGAGGCCAAAAAGCAGTGGAATGAATTGTACACACACACACACACTCCACATTTTAAATTTAAATTGTAGACAACACACTCCTGAGTCTTAAATGTAAATTTCATTTCAGGGTGCTTCTATTAAAACCGACAAAGCCCAACTGTGTTGAATCTGTTGTGTTAAATCTATCAGAAAGCTTACAGCTTCTCCCAAACCCTAATTAATAAGGATTTTATTTTAAATTACTTTGCTGGTTGTTGTTTTTTTTGTTTCATTTTTCTTTTCAAAATCATTTCAGGCCGCCTGCATTCAAATTTTTAAAAAGTTGAGAAATCCAATAGCAGCGGATCGTACAGAAAGATCCGGACAACGGCGTAGAAAACGGATTTTTCTGTTTCTCCAGTTGCAATTTTGGTCATGTTTATTCTTTCCTATTCTTAACCCCAAAGGTGTTTTTTTTTTTTTTTCAGGAGGCAACTGGACTTTCTGGTTTTTCTCTGAAGATGTTTCGCTTCTCATCCAAGAAGCTTCCTCAGCTCATCCAGGTCATGGTTGTCTCAAAAGCACCTTTGGGACCCACCCATGGCCTGGATGACTGAAAATCTCCATAGACATTTCCCATAAAAGAGGACCCCACCTGGGGTGCTCATATTGTAGCCCTGGTCAAAAGGGCCCAGCAGTGATTATACTACCTGAGGCTTCTCAGGAAACAACAACTGAATGAAAAACTGCTGGTGACCTTCTATCAGCTGCACCATAGAGAGCATTTTAACCTACTGCACCTCTGTAGGGTTTGCCAATTGCACAGGGGCAGATAGGAAAGCGCTTCAGAGGGTTAACGTCAATGCCCAGAAGATCATGGGTTGCTCTCTCCCCTCTTTGGAAGAGCTTTAGAGCTCCTGTTGTCAACTCATAAAATATTTATCTGGTCTTTTTAGAGTTGCCAACAGAAAGAAAGGGGTGAGCAGTGCAGGAGCTTGCAAAACCGAAAGTGCATTCCATAAATGTTTTCAAAGATAGTAACTAGGTGACTGAAATTTCTGCCAAGCAAAATTCTAACTGGAGAGCATGATTGATGACTCTGGGCTATGGACGTATCCCGTTGGAGAATATGAATTATGATACCCCCAGGGGGTGGGGGAAAGCCAGTGTTAAGGGTGACAATGAATGATGGACCTCAGAATCGGTTACACCCAGGAATTGCCAGACATGTTAACTCCCAATAAATCCTTTTGAAGTTTTGGAAGTTTGGCTCGAGAATCAGGATTTAATTGGGGGTAACTGCCAGAATCCTGACACCCGTTGCCTTAAGAAAGTCCCAAACATTCTCAAAGATCCATCTCATCCTGGGAACCCCCCTTTTTTTTAACTATTACCATCTGGCAGACGGTACAGGACAATAAAAACAAGGACAAATTGGCTGAAAAACAGCTTCTATCCCAGGGCAGGAACTCTATGGAATTCTACTGTAGAGTGGAATATTCATGCAATATCAAGGGTTTTCCGTTCAATGGGTAGAGTGTGAGGGAGCTGTGTTTGTGTTTTATTTTCATAGTCCTAATATACACTGAAGATGGTGTTTAATTTCATTGTACGAAGTGCAAGGGCAACAAAGGAAACTCGACTATTCTTAACTTTTGAAAAGAGCCCGGCTGAGCTTGGCTCAGCTCTTTGATGGGAGGATTTACCTATGAGTAAGCTGGTTAATTTTCTTGAGCCGCTCCTTGTTGTTCGTCGTCTTATACACGGTGATGAGGAAGGGGAATGCCGACGGCAGCTCCACTTTATCGCTCAACTTCTGATGGCCCCAGTGAAGGCAACGCAGCTTCTCGGACAAATCGTGCCGTCCTGATTTTTCCAAAGCCTCTCGAAGCAATTTTGTCTTGTTTGGCTTGTCCCGCGATCGTTCGTACCTGGAGAGGGGTTGGCCAGCAGATCCAGAAAAAAAATGGCAGAAGGAAGCAGGTGCCCCACCGTTCAACTTGTCTCTGTATTTATTTTGATTTGATTTGATTTGATTTCGGAAACTGATACTGCCGCCTATTTGCACACGGCATTTAGTTTTGTTCTTCTCCCCGGGTCTTTGGGCCTTTTGCCGTTTCAAGTTATCCTCGCTTCATTCTAAGAAAGAATATTTGTAGCTCAGGGTTGAAACGAGGGGTCCTTGGTGGTTTCTGGGCTTGGTTGTTTCATTGCAGACATTTCATTGCTTAACTACCCCGTTTCTCCCAAAAATACAACCTACCCTGAAAGTAAGTCCTAGCTTGATTTTTACACGTGTGCCCAATATAAGCCCTACCCCCCAAAATAAGCCCTAATTAGGATCCTGCCCATTCCAGAGGGTACGGGTACAAATTAAGCTAGGGTGGAGATGGGGCTGCCCTACTATTTACCTTTGGACAGGTGTAGCCAGGCCTCACACACCCCCGACACCTGCCTTGGTGGCCCATTTCTTCTGCAGCTGGCAAAGCTGGCAAGGCTTTCCTGAAGGCCTCCGGAGCTGAGAACAAAGCCGTGGATCGATCCTGAGCTCTGTCATCGGTTGCAGAGGCCTTCAGGAAAGCCTTGCCGGTCGCAGAAAAAGTTGCTGAAGGCCTCCGACAGCGAAAAGGAGGCCGGGAGCGATGCACATGACTGAGGTGAGTCAGTGGATGACATCTACCGAAAATAAGACCTGGTGCCTTTTTTTGGTGGTCAAAAAATAAAATAAAATAAGACAGAGTCTTACTTTTGGGGAAACACCGTAGGTAATATCATCAGTGCTAGTAAGGCAAACCTCACTGTATGCTAGCACTGATGATGTTACCTAGCTGGGTAATAAAATAAAGAAAATAACCAAGCTCAGAGAGCACCAAGGACCCTACAGTCCTCCTCCTCCTCCTCCTCTTCTGAAAATGATTACATCTCAGGCATAATCCTTTTCTCAGCTTAGAATATTCCCATGGCTTCTTCCTCAAGATAATTAGCAAAACAGAGAGAATTGGATTCATATTGATGGCTTCCAGGTTGGTTGAGCAACGAACATTCTTCCACGTTCAAAATCACTATATCCCTCTACTTACTCCCTTCTGGAGCTAATTTCTTTTAATCAGGACAAGCTTTCCACATCTGGAATATTTGAAAAGGCCGTTCTCTATTTCTAAGGCGAGCTGGTAAAATCAGAGAATTTTTAAAAAATAATAATGTAAAACCGGGCGATACCTTTTCAAGGTTGATTTTCTTACAAAGAAGTAACACAGGACCCGTAAAGCATGAACTCAGAAATGGAGAACTAAGAGAGAAGCCCTCAGTGCTCTCTGAGATTGGCTGTCTTTTTTGCAGACATTTCATTACCCACCTAGGGAACATTACCAGTGCTAGAAGGGCGGGTGGGAGAGGAGGAAGAAGATGACTGTGGGGTCCTTGGGGCTTTCTGAGCTGGCTTATTTTCTTGCAGATGTTTCATGACCCAACTAGGTAGCATCATCAGTGCCAGTAAGGCAAACCTCAGTCCTTACTAGCACCGATGATGTTACCTAGGTGGATCATGAAATGTCTGCAAGAAAGCAACCAAATTCACCATCCATCCATCTATCCACCCACCCACCCATCTGTTCGTCGACTCACCCTTCCTTCCATCTATCCATCCATTCACCACCCAACCATCCACCTTTCCATCCATGCACCCACCCTTCCATTCACCCTTCCATCCATCCATCCATCCATCCATCCATCCATCCATCCA